ATAGAATGTAAAATTTTCATTCATCCAATCACTTAATGTTAATACTCTCATTTATACACTCTTTATATAATTAGGAAAATGATTTTTATATAATCTTTTTATCTCACCTTTTTGTGCAACCTGACATGTTATTAAAATAATTGATTTTTTTAATTCATGTAGAACCCGTAATATTAAATGCATACACTTATTTAATAACATATAAAAATTATATAAAAATATGAGATAAAAAGGTTATCTCTATAGTATCACCCATATAATTAAGACATGATATGATGTTAAGTTTTAAAAACATTAAATTTAATATCAATTATTAATCACCAATTATATTAAATTTATGTTTTATGTAGCCCTCTTCATTGACAATTAAAAGACTTGTCTGGTATAATAATTAAAATCTAACAAATAATAAGTAATAATATGTAATAGATACCAAATAATAGTAGTTGGTAACATATGATGATTTGTGAATAGTGATTGATGGATACTAGAGAGGGGATAACAAGTTGTACATAATGAATTTTAATTAATATAAGTGTTTGGTTTATAATGATTAATAATTGTTACTTGACGTGAAATAATTAATAAGAATATATTTAAAAGAAATTAAGTGTATATTTTATATTTTTTATTATTAAAACTATAAACTTTATGAAATAAATAAATAAAATATAAAAGTATAAATCACATATTCATTTTTATTTTTAATAAAGAAAAGTTGTATTATTTTTAAATAAAGAAAAAAAATAAACTTGAATAATTTTGTTTAATTAGTAAATTTTATTTACTAAATTAATATACATTTTTATAATAAATTAATATAAAAAATAAAAAAATAATAATCATATAATGTTATTTAAGAAAAACAGAATTAGAACCAATTAGATAAATGATAATTAAAGTTCATTGTAAAAAAAAAAAAGGAAAGATTAAATTGGATAAGTTTATTAATAAAATTAAAAAGTTTCAATTTGCTAATGACTATATCCAAAATGTTACTTAAAGTAATTCTTTTAATTTGTTAACCATTTAAACTCTAATTACTATTTATTACTCTCAAATGACTATAGAAAAAAAAATCATCAAATACTTAACTCGTAATAATTTTAAAGTAAAAAATTTTATTAAACACTAATCCTATCTTATCTTTATATAGCGGATTGTGTAAAATATGTAACGGCTTTCCACAAACCATTACATATCATCAAACGGGTACAAAGTGTTTCCACAGCAGAAGCTTCCGTGATCCTTCCCTCACTCGATCGCAAAACAGAGTTCATTTTTTTTACTTTGATAATTACATTAAATTTTGATTAATTTAGAATCAAATTAATTTATATTTTATTTGAAAAACTTTTTTTTTATATTTATTTCTTTATTTACAAAATTTAAATTTAAAATATTATTTAAAAAAAAAAAACTCAACTCCCGGTGAATCGAATCAACTGCTTGTTAAATTCCATCGGACACTTTTTTTATGCTCAACCAAACCCCTCCGCCACCTCTTCCAAAAAGACGGCCACACAAGAGATGTGATGTGACCATTTATCTACCCCCCCATACTCAGGGCATTTCCGTCATTTCATTCCATTCTATGGCTTCCCCCTTAAACTGTCTCAATTATTTATTTTCCAGACGCGTATAAATGGAGGGGACCTTCACTTCCCTCTTCTCCATGCTTTCTTCTCCGTTTTCGCGTTTTCTTAGTCCCTTTTCCCCCTCATTCTCTCACACTTTCGCTCTCTAGAATTCTTCCTTTCTCGTTCTATCTGGGGTTGTCTGATTCCAATTGATCGTTCAAGTTAAGGTACAGAATTGCTCGGTTTTTTATTTCTTGTTCGGGAGATCGCATGGGATCGTGCTTTCTTGGTTTAGTTTGATGTTATTGGTTGATCTTTGAATTGAAGCTGTTTGTGATATGGGTATTGTTGTTTTTCTGTGTGATCCGTCGATATTTGGAAGGAAATGTTTTGTTGTTGATGGATAATTTGCATTTTATTTTAACCTGCATTTATGTCATGTTGATCTGGATCTCGGTATTATGGGTATAGAAATGGTTGATGATCTTTACCTTTCGTTGGTAGGGGGATTTTGGGTTTCATTGCCGGAGAAGATCTGTTCTTTCTGTGATTTTAGTTTGCGTTTTATTTTTTTGTTGGATCTGGTGATTTGTGGTGGATCTTGATTATTACTTACTGAAGTTTTTGTCCCTTCTGTTCTCTGATTTGATGATTTCATTTTGATTTAAGTTTTGCTTTGATTGATTGTTTATTTGGGGAAATGAGGAATGGAACTTAAGCTTTTAGATTGATTTGATGATGCATATAAAAGAAGCAAGTTTTGAGGTTTTTAAGCATCAAATTGAGGTATTATGTACATTATTTGACCAAATTGGGGAGGCAGTCTTCTTATGATGCCTCCAGTCTCAGATCTGCTGTTGGTTTTGTCCTATCATATTATGTTTATGTAGAATGAGATCTGAACTATTTTAATGGGAAATTTGACATGTCCTCTCCACTTGATGTCATCATCCTTTTAATCTGTGAACTCACATGTTGTGTTTTTTTCTCTTCTTTGTCTTGTTGTAGTTTTAGAGTTGGGTTGTTGAATTGTCTGTGCCGGTGGTGTGTGCTTTTTCATTTTTATTAACTTTGGTAGGTGGAAAATATTATTATCTCTTGATATAGTTCTAAATCAGTTTCTGTATCTTCTTAATTGTGTACAGCTGGTTTTGATATGGCTACACATACGCCTAAGAACATCCTTATTACTGGGGCTGCTGGATTTATTGCATCCCATGTTGCCAATCGGCTCATCAGGAACTACCCTGATTACAAAATTGTTGTGCTTGACAAGCTTGATTACTGTTCAAATCTGAAGAACCTGAACCCATCAAAATCATCTCCAAACTTTAAGTTTGTGAAGGGAGATATTGGCAGTGCCGACCTTGTCAACTATCTTCTCATTACTGAGTCTATCGACACAATAATGCACTTTGCAGCCCAAACCCATGTCGACAACTCATTTGGGAATAGCTTTGAGTTTACCAAGAACAACATTTATGGAACTCATGTCTTGCTTGAAGCCTGCAAGGTCACTGGCCAGATCAGGAGGTTCATCCATGTGAGTACTGATGAGGTTTATGGAGAGACAGATGAGGATGCTGTTGTAGGAAACCATGAGGCTTCTCAGCTCCTCCCAACAAACCCATACTCTGCAACAAAGGCTGGAGCAGAAATGCTTGTTATGGCATATGGCAGATCATATGGGTTACCTGTGATAACAACACGTGGAAACAATGTTTATGGTCCCAATCAGTTTCCTGAAAAGTTGATTCCAAAGTTTATCCTCTTGGCAATGAGGGGCAAACCTCTTCCAATTCATGGGGATGGCTCCAATGTAAGGAGTTATTTATACTGCGAGGATGTTGCCGAGGCATTTGAAGTCATTCTTCACAAGGGTGAAGTTGGCCATGTGTACAATATTGGGACAAAGAAGGAAAGGTGTGTGATTGATGTGGCTAAGGATATATGCAAGCTTTTCTCAATGGATCCTGAGACAAGCATCAAGTTTGTGGAGAACAGACCATTCAACGACCAGAGGTACTTTCTTGATGATCAGAAGCTGAAGAACTTGGGATGGTCAGAACGAACAACATGGGAAGAGGGCTTAAAGAAGACTATGGAATGGTACATTCAGAATCCTGATTGGTGGGGTGATGTCACTGGTGCACTGTTGCCACATCCAAGGATGCTGATGATGCCTGGAGGGAGACACTTCGGCAGCTCTGATGATGGAAACTCTACATCAGATTCATACGCACCAAGTGGTTCTAATCAGACACGAATGGTGACACGAATGGTGGTTCCAACCCCCAAAAGTGGTGTCTCTCCTCATAAGCCATCTTTGAAGTTCTTGATCTATGGCAGGACAGGGTGGATTGGAGGTCTACTTGGCCAATTATGTGAGAAACAAGGGATTCCCTTTGAATATGGAAAAGGACGCTTGGAGGATCGTTCATCACTCCTGGCAGATGTTCAGAATGTTAAGCCAACCCATGTCTTTAATGCTGCTGGTGTGACTGGTAGACCTAATGTTGATTGGTGTGAATCTCATAAAACCGAAACTATTCGTGTCAATGTGGCTGGAACGTTGACCTTGGCCGATGTTTGCAGAGAGCATGGTCTTTTAATGATGAATTATGCTACTGGCTGTATATTTGAGTATGATGCTGCACATCCAGAAGGTTCTGACATTGGGTTTAAAGAGGAAGACAAACCAAACTTTACTGGTTCTTTCTATTCCAAAACCAAGGCCATGGTAATTTCATTCAAAAGTTACAATTATTTATATTTCCATTTTTTTATTAGATTGTAAGGATTCACATAATTTTCCTTTAATGTTTTAGGTTGAGGAGCTCTTGAAAGAATATGACAATGTCTGCACCCTCAGAGTCCGAATGCCAATATCATCTGATCTCAACAACCCACGCAACTTCATTACTAAGATTTCTCGCTATAATAAGGTGGTCAATATTCCCAACAGCATGACAATCTTGGATGAACTTCTTCCAATCTCAATTGAGATGGCAAAGAGAAACTTGAGGGGAATATGGAACTTCACAAACCCTGGTGTTGTGAGCCATAATGAGATACTGGAGATGTACAAGACTTACATTGATCCCAGCTTTAAGTGGATGAACTTCACATTGGAAGAGCAAGCAAAAGTGATTGTTGCCCCTCGAAGCAACAATGAGATGGATGCATCCAAGTTAAAGAAGGAGTTCCCTGGGCTGCTGCCTATCAAGGAGTCACTAATTAAGTATGTCTTTGAAGCAAATAGGAGAACTTAAGTCCCGGAAGCAGTTCTTAGTTATAGAACCCAAGGTTAACCTCTGTATTCTGCATTATATTATGCATCTTTAAGTACCTTTCTCAATTTCCCTCATTTTTGTTTGTTAGCTCAGCTCATTATTGGTATTGATACTAGAGGAATATCGTTCTCTCCACTCAACTTCTCATCTTAGTTTGCTGTCAGGCCTAGTGATATGTTCTGCCAAAAACATTGAACAGAGTATTACTCACGTCATCTGCAGGCTCACAGATGTATTATTTTTTCATTCCATTGGTTTAATATCATGTGCTGTTTGTGTTTTCACCTCGCAGCTTTACATTTTAATTGAAGTGTTTGTTTTATTAATTCGAATATCCAAGAGATCAGAGTTGGATGTTTTTCAGTTTCTTCCCCCTTTTGTTCTGGTGAAGATCAGTTATGGAACCAAGTTTTAATTTACAGAATATAAGCAATTGACAGAAAGACTTACAATTTTTCTTGGCTTAAGAATTAATGAAACATAAAGGGCCGACTATTTGTACTTGAAGAGGGGGAAAATGGTTTTTATTGACTTGGACAAGAATGTTTTATTATGAGAACAGAACATTGAACGGGTAAGCAAGATGTCAATTGGTTGAATTGATGTCCCCTGGTGGATTTCTCAAGGGTTGGTTTAAGTCTCTCTGTTGAATTTCTCAGTTCATTAATGTATAAAACCCTCATCGGAAAAAATTCTATGCAACTGTTATTTAGTTGACATGGTATATAGGAAATCAATAAAAATTTTGATGTCAAATTGTTCTACCATGCAATTAATGTGATATCGCCATTCATTATGGTGCATTATTTATCATCAGATCATACGTGCCAAAAACTGGTTGAATTGACGAGGGTTGTTGCAAATACTTGTAGCCTTGAAAAGTTGATCATTAAACACCAGCCATTGTTGAAACTAAATGGAATGATTTAAAGATGAGGAATCCCAAACAGTATAATTAAAAAGTGACGCTAACACTTACCATCTTTCTTCGCTTACTTGGATTGGATTGTAAGTTTACAATTATAATATAATATTAAATGAGTGAATATATATAGTATTAAAGATAGATTATTAAATGAAAAGAATTGATAATATAATAATTTATTATATTATAAGTTTATAATATTATGTGATATTATGATTACAATATTTTTATTTAAAAAAGTTAAAACTGTTTCGTTGAAAAACAAAAGGAAAGGAAATTAATGTCACTTTAAGATAAAAATAGGGCGTCTCGCACCTCCCATCAATTAATCATCTAGACCCACACACTACATTCACATTCATTTTTTCTCATTGGAATTGCATTGGGTAATTGGACCATATTCATGCAATTAATCATGGTGTCCTCATTCAAAGTCATTAGCTACCACTATCCGTCAATCATGGCACATCAAGAATTAGGTAAGTTGTGCGGTCAAGATGAAGAAATGGATCGTTGGCTTGGCAACAGCAAGACAAGAATTAGGTGCGGTCTGTGGTGAATACAAAGAAATGGGTCTACACGAGTTTATCTGCTTGTGCAACAGTACTCGCATGGAATGTACAAAATTACATTGTTAATGCGACAATAAACCAATTGATCTTATTTAAATCAAGGGAGATTCAAGATGCTACAGATGTATTTTCTGACCACTCTTTCTGTATCAACTTCAAGCGGCAAAGTCATTTAAGATTTTCTTCTACCCTGCATTCATACCAAGACTGAAATCACTTTGAATCAGATTTAACACTCTCTTCAGCGCGTGTAAGTCCATCTGTTAAAACATCAATTGTCCAATTCTTCAAGTCCTCCTGGAGACGAAGAAAATTGGCAAATATGAGCAATTAAGCCAAAAAAAGCAAGAACGAAAATATTGTTTCCAATAAAAGCATCATTTTGAAGTTGGAAGAAAGGCATCACATCTTATTCTTAATGTCCAAATATATTAATCTGACCATAACTTAGGAGAATGAATGAATGCTCATATTCATGCAGAAGGTCCGAATATTTTGATGTACAATAATGCTAATGCATTAGATAAAAAAAAAAAAAAAAAAAAAAAAAAAAAAAACAGATATTACATTAACATCACAAAGGTAAATCTTTAAATAGAATTGCACCAATCATGCATTTGCAAGATTAAATGATAACAATGGACAAATGATTGTTCACATCTACAAGAATGAACAAGGGTTTTTGAATCTTTTGATTGTAATTTGGTTGGCACCGACATAGAGCATATACTATATTGTTTAGAAACATTTGGCAATCACTTGATCACTAACAAAACCTAATGTGCTATGGCAGGATTAAAAAATAATAATAAAAAAACAAAACCTATTGTTCCAGCAAAGTCAGTAAGATAATTATGCAACATGTTTATGCAGGTAGAGATAGATTACCAAGCTTTTTTACAGAACTGGATTTTTTCTATAGTGGTCCTATTCACAATGATGAACTCCCAGGTCTATGTCATCAATGCTTAGTGACATTTGCTGTCACCATCTATAAGAGTAACAAAACAAATTAAGAGTTTCATGAGTCAAAATTATTAAGGAGTGAAGAATTATGAAACTCACCATTCGTACTGTTTCTCCTGTTCTTATTCGTGCACTAGGACGTGCAAGCTTGGATTCAAAAGGAGTCCTTGGTCTCACTTCTCGAAATTCCTCCCACTCCTCATGAGTGAGCATCCTGACTGTGCCTTGACCAGGAGGAGCATTTTTTATTTTTCGTTCAATCATTTCCTGGGATTTTGACTCATCATGCTGCCAGTGCACAAAAATTAACCAGATAAGTCTCTTGATAGAGTGATAATTATTAAATTAGGGCAATAAACAAGACATCTTAAGAGTAAAAAACAGAACATATAAAGCCTAGTAAACAGAAAATTTAATGTCTACTGGTGTGAAGATGAGATTTTTTTTTTTTTTTTTTTTTTTTTTTGGGGGGGCGGG